ACACCATCCATTATTAGACTGTCTTCCACATTCAGTAAGCAACCTACACTTTCCTTAATCTTCCTCTTATTTCCAAGATACTTGTACCATGCTTTTTTTGTTGCCTTTTACATCCCTCACTAGTTGCATCTCAATTCATGCCTTGGCCTTCCTGATATTTCTCTCTGCTTGCCCCTCTAATGATGCACCCATCTTCATCTTCAGACACCTATGTACCATTAAACATATGGTTGTGAACTTTTAATTAAAGAGGCATAGAATATTTATGGAAGCTATGGCAGAACATGCTTCCCAAGCATGGGGCTTACTCCTTAGCATCTCCCCCCTCCCCACCACCCCCTCGTAGTTTGTTTGGAAAGCAGCAACAGGTCAGCTCCCAGGTTTAAGTGAGGTGTTGACTTGAAACTGTTTACTGAAGTCTTTACAGTGTCATTTCTGCTTATACTTGAGCTCCTTCTTGAGCTTTGGGAAGCTGTGTTGGAACATTTCTTGCCATTTAGGGATCGAACCACTGTGTTTTAAAGTGGCAGGCTCTGTTGGGAGGGGGAAGGGGGAGGGAAGAGGGGCTATGGCATAGAGACTTCACCCCTTCCTGGGTTCTGTCAGAGTCCTTCTTTCCTCGCTTGTAAAAACCATTTGCTGCCCACCCTTCACCTTTGCCCCAATATTTGTTAACCTGATGATCACCATGCATCATTTTTTCATTCTGCCTGAATTTTAACAGAGTCATTTTTAAAGGGCAAGGACTAAATGGAGACCGCTTGAAATATCCTCTCCCTCCCCCACGTGGCTCTTTTAGCTCTGCTTGAGGCCAAAGCACACAGGTGGGGTCGCGTATGGAATGTTAATTCTACCTGTACCTGTGCTGTACAGTGGACAATTATTTCTTAAAGGGAACCTTTACTTTACTAGAATCATCTTCCTCAAGGAATTGGAAAGGCTGCTTTGGAGCCAGGGATGTAAGCTTGGATAAGGAGGGTTGCCTGTAGCATGGAGGGACTGGGTCCACAAAGAGGACTTAAGGTTGTCATGTCTAACCCAGGTGCTCTGCTCCCAACTGGAATCCATGGCCCAGCAACAAAGTACTGCCCCCTTAAATCCACTAACCCTCTGGCTACAGCATTCATTTGAAGTGTTGGAGATACATGTTCACATGCCTTCTAATTTGGAGGAAGACTGCAAGCCCAGGTTTTTCATTTAGATCAGGGGTGCTCAACAGACCAGATCCAGCCCTCTGCACTATGTTGTCTGGCCTGCAGGGCTACCCATGGGCCTGAAAATTTGCAAGTAGGGGACTGGTGGCAGCTAATTGATACTCCCATGTGGTCAAATTTCTGGGCCTGTGAAGAGCTCTGTGAGCCAGATAGCTTGGCCCCACACACTAGATTGAGTACTTGGGGCCAACTGGGGCAGCACAGAGCGGTGCAAGGCTGAGGAGGGTGACAATGCACAGCTAAGCGACGAAGGCTGAGCTGGATGGCATATGGGCAATCAGGGCAGTGTGGACCAGCACAGAGCCAAGTGGGGGCCCACGGAGCTGGATGGAGATGGCATGGGGCCCAATCCTGGTGTTCAGGGTCCAATCCAGGCTGCAGGGTCCAAAGCCTTGAGTACCACTGCCCTAGACAAGTGCCCTAGCTGTGCTGATATGAGGTATACTGAGGTAGGGCTTTTTCAGTCTCTTCTGCTGTGGAGTTTTCATGTTGCAGAAATA